CTGGTCTTAACACCATTGCTGTGTACTGGTCTTAACACCATTGCTGTGTACTGGTCTTAACACCATTGCAGTGTACTGGTCTTAACACCATTGCAGTGTACTGGTCTTAACACCATTGCAGTGTACTGGTCTTAACACCATTGCAGTGTACTGGTCTTAACACCATTGCAGTGTACTGGTCTTAACACCATTGCAGTGGTACTGTCTTAACACCATTGCAGTGTACTGGTCTTAACACCATTGCAGTGTACTGGTCTTAACACCATTGCAGTGTACTGGTCTTAACACCATTGCTGTGTACTGGTCTTAACACCATTGCTGTGTACTGGTCTTAACACCATTGCTGTGTACTGGTCTTAACACCATTGCTGTGTACTGGTCTTAACACCATTGCTGTGTACTGGTCTTAACACCATTGCTGTGTACTGGTCTTAACACCATTGCTGTGTACTGGTCTTAACACCATTGCATTGTACTGGTCTTAACACCATTGCTGTGTACTGGTCTTAACACCATTGCTGTGTACTGGTCTTAACACCATTGCTGTGTACTGGTCTTAACACCATTGCAGTGTACTGGTCTTAACACCATTGCAGTGTGTTGGTCTTAACACCATTGCAGTGTACTGGTCTTAACACCATTGCAGTGTACTGGTCTTAACACCATTGCTGTGTACTGGTCTTAACACCATTGCAGTGTACTGGTCTTAACACCATTGCAGTGTGCTGGTCTTAACACCATTGCAGTGTACTGGTCTTAACACCATTGCAGTGTACTGGTCTTAACACCATTGCTGTGTACTGGTCTTAACACCATTGCTGTGTGCTGGTCTTAACACCATTGCAGTGTACTGGTCTTAACACCATTGCAGTGTACTGGTCTTAACACCATTGCTGTGTACTGGTCTTAACACCATTGCAGTGTACTGGTCTTAACACCATTGCTGTGTACTGGTCTTAACACCATTGCAGTGTACTGGTCTTAACAACCATTGCTGTGTACTGGTCTTAACACCATTGCAGTGTACTGGTCTTAACACCATTGCTGTGTACTGGTCTTAACACCATTGCAGTGTGCTGGTCTTAACACCATTGCTGTGTACTGGTCTTAACACCATTGCTGTGTACTGGTCTTAACACCATTGCTGTGTACTGGTCTTAACACCATTGCTGTGTACTGGTCTTAACACCATTGCAGTGTACTGGTCTTAACACCATTGCTGTGTACTGGTCTTAACACCATTGCAGTGTGCTGGTCTTAACACCATTGCTGTGTACTGGTCTTAACACCATTGCTGTGTACTGGTCTTAACACCATTGCTGTGTACTGGTCTTAACACCATTGCTTGTGTACTGGTCTTAACACCATTGCTGTGTACTGGTCTTAACACCATTGCTGTGTACTGGTCTTAACACCATTGCTGTGTACTGGTCTTAACACCATTGCAGTGTACTGGTCTTAACACCATTGCTGTGTACTGGTCTTAAACACCATTGCAGTGTACTGGTCTTAACACCATTGCAGTGTACTGGTCTTAACACCATTGCAGTGTGCTGGTCTTAACACCATTGCTGTGTACTGGTCTTAACACCATTGCTGTGTACTGGTCTTAACACCATTGCTGTGTACTGTCTTAACACCATTGCAGTGTACTGGTCTTAACACCATTGCTGTGTACTGGTCTTAACACCATTGCTGTGTACTGGTCTTAACACCATTGCTGTGTACTGGTCTTAACACCATTGCTGTGTACTGGTCTTAACACCATTGCAGTGTACTGGTCTTAACACCATTGCTGTGTACTGGTCTTAACACCATTGCTGTGTACTGGTCTTAACACCATTGCTGTGTACTGGTCTTAACACCATTGCTGTGTACTGGTCTTAACACCATTGCAGTGTACTGGTCTTAACACCATTGCTGTGTACTGGTCTTAACACCATTGCTGTGTACTGGTCTTAACACCATTGCAGTGTACTGGTCTTAACACCATTGCAGTGTACTGGTCTTAACACCATTGCTGTGTACTGGTCTTAACACCATTGCTGTGTACTGGTCTTAACACCATTGCAGTGTACTGGTCTTAACGCCATTGCAGTGTACTGGTCTTAACACCATTGCAGTGTACTGGTCTTAACACCATTGCTGTGTACTGGTCTTAACACCATTGCTGTGTACTGGTCTTAACACCATTGCTGTGTACTGGTCTTAACACCATTGCTGTGTACTGGTCTTAACACCATTGCTGTGTACTGGTCTTAACACCATTGCTGTGTACTGGTCTTAACACCATTGCATTGTACTGGTCTTAACACCATTGCATTGTACTGGTCTTAACACCATTGCATTGTACTGGTCTTAACACCATTGCATTGTACTGGTCTTAACACCATTGCATTGTACTGGTCTTAACACCATTGCAGTGTACTGGTCTTAACACCATTGCAGTGTACTGGTCTTAACACCATTGCATTGTACTGGTCTTAACACCATTGCATTGTACTGGTCTTAACACCATTGCATTGTACTGGTCTTAACACCATTGCATTGTACTGGTCTTAACACCATTGCAGTGTACTGGTCTTAACACCATTGCAGTGTACTGGTCTTAACACCATTGCTGTGTACTGGTCTTAACACCATTGCTGTGTACTGGTCTTAACACCATTGCTGTGTACTGGTCTTAACACCATTGCTGTGTACTGGTCTTAACACCATTGCTGTGTACTGGTCTTAACACCATTGCTGTGTACTGGTCTTAACACCATTGCTGTGTACTGGTCTTAACACCATTGCTGTGTACTGGTCTTAACACCATTGCAGTGTGCTGGTCTTAACACCATTGCTGTGTACTGGTCTTAACGCCATTGCAGTGTACTGGTCTTAACACCATTGCTGTGTACTGGTCTTAACGCCATTGCAGTGTACTGGTCTTAACACCATTTGCTGTGTACTGGTCTTAACACCATTGCAGTGTACTGGTCTTAACGCCATTGCAGTGTACTGGTCTTAACACCATTGCTGTGTACTGGTCTTAACACCATTGCAGTGTACTGGTCTTAACACCATTGCAGTGTACTGGTCTTAACACCATTGCTGTGTACTGGTCTTAACACCATTGCAGTGTACTGGTCTTAACACCATTGCTGTGTACTGGTCTTAACACCATTGCTGTGTACTGGTCTTAACACCATTGCTGTGTACTGGTCTTAACACCATTGCAGTGTACTGGTCTTAACACCATTGCAGTGTACTGGTCTTAACACCATTGCAGTGTACTGGTCTTAACACCATTGCTGTGTACTGGTCTTAACACCATTGCTGTGTACTGGTCTTAACACCATTGCAGTGTACTGGTCTTAACACCATTGCAGTGTACTGGTCTTAACACCATTGCTGTGTACTGGTCTTAACACCATTGCAGTGTACTGGTCTTAACACCATTGCAGTGTACTGGTCTTAACACCATTGCTGTGTACTGGTCTTAACACCATTGCAGTGTACTGGTCTTAACACCATTGCAGTGTACTGGTCTTAACACCATTGCAGTGTGCTGGTCTTAACACCATTGCAGTGTACTGGTCTTAACACCATTGCAGTGTACTGGTCTTAACACCATTGCTGTGTACTGGTCTTAACACCATTGCAGTGTACTGGTCTTAACACCATTGCTGTGTACTGGTCTTAACACCATTGCAGTGTACTGGTCTTAACACCATTGCAGTGTACTGGTCTTAACACCATTGCAGTGTGTTGGTCTTAACGCCATTATAGTGTGCTGGTCTTAACACCATTGCAGTGTGTTGGTCTTAACACCATTGCAGTGTACTGGTCTTAACACCATTGCAGTGTACTGGTCTCAACACCATTGCAGTGTACTGGTCTTAACACCATTGCAGTGTGCTGGTCTTAACACCATTGCAGTGTGCTGGTCTTAACACCATTGCAGTGTGTTGGTCTTAACACCATTGCAGTGTGTTGGTCTTAACACCATTGCAGTGTACTGGTCTTAACACCATTGCAGTGTGTTGGTCTTAACACCATTGCAGTGTGCTGGTCTTAACACCATTGCAGTGTGTTGGTCTTAACACCATTGCAGTGTGTTGGCTTAACACCATTGCAGTGTACTGGTCTTAACACCATTGCAGTGTGTTGGTCTTAACACCATTGCAGTGTGCTGGTCTTAACACCATTGCAGTGTGTTGGTCTTAACACCATTGCAGTGTATTGGTCTTAACACCATTGCAGTGTACTGGTCTTAACACCATTGCAGTGTACTGGTCTTAACACCATTACAGTGTGTTGGTCTTAACACCATTGCAGTGTGCTGGTTTTAACACCATTACAGTGTACTGGTCTTAACACCATTACAGTGTGTTGGTCTTAACACCATTACAGTGTGTTGGTCTTAACACCATTATAGTGTGCTGGTCTTAACACCATTACAGTGTGCTGGTCTTAACACCATTATAGTGTGCTGGTCTTAACACCATTACAGTGTGTTGGTCTTAACACCATTATAGTGTGCTGGTCTTAACACCATTACAGTGTGTTGGTCTTAACACCATTACAGTGTGCTGGTCTTAACACCATTACAGTGTGTTGGTCTTAACACCATTACAGTGTGTTGGTCTTAACACCATTATAGTGTGTTGGTCTTAACACCATTACAGTGTGTTGGTCTTAACACCATTACAGTGTGTTGTCTTAACACCATTAAAGTGTGTTGGTCTTAACACCATTACAGTGTGCTGGTCTCAACACCATTATAGTGTGCTGGTCTTAACACAATTTCTGATCTTTGTTACAAAATACGACATCTATTATCATAGATATCTACCAGAGATCACTAGAAGGTCAACATTACTTTCCGTGTAGCCGCAAGTCTGTCGCTGGTTTTGTAACATTTCGTTCCTCCGCGTCCACAACCAATTATCGTGTATCGTACTGGGTTTGTTACAGCGTTCTGGCATCACAACTGGATGAATACAAACCAAGTAAAAGTTTGAGAATTTTATTAACAAAAAGCTGTCTAAGTGGGTTAATATTTACAGTTAAACGTAAACTTTAGAAATAATGAAGATAGATTCCTATACATCTGTACATTCAAATTAACTGTACTATCAGTACTCTGCTTATGATAATGTACACAAAAATACTCTCAAAGAAACTGATCCATCTGGTTCGTTACTGTAATGAAATATACTCAAAAGTACAAGAGTAATGTATGTGTTTATGTGTACATGTGCTCGGTAGATTTAATTTTGAATGTGACTGAGAAAACGAGTTCCTAGATAAACTGACTTCTGACCTATGCTTCCTTGAACAACAGGATCACCAGTTCGCCAGAAACAGCAAAATGGATACTTACCCATCGATACCATGCCTAACCCTTCTAGGGTAGGGTAGGTGCCTGAGACCGAGCCTTTAGCTCATAAGACTGTCATTCCCATTAGCCCCCTTGGGGCGGATGGCAGACCAGAGAGGCCTAGCTTGTGGCTAGGCCTGGGGACAGTTGGTCCCAAAGATGAGGAGGTACTTGTGCCTCCTCCCATGGGAGACTTAGGTCTCAGACACTCCCTGAAGAGGGAGCCAAGGCCGGGCCACCACTTGGAAAAGGCCCGGGCCGGGAGAATACCAGCTAATCTTTAATAATAACAGCAAAATGCACCCAGCAGCCGTCAGCAGCACAGCGTCAAGACTAAAAAAAGACCCTAACTGGGGACACTCGGCAAGTATTCTACATAAGACAAAAAAAAAAAAACTTCTGTATCCGAGCTCACCAAATTCCAAACTGCGACTACAACAGTGTATATGCAAGCACCAGGTATGTCTAGAGACTCGAGTACCACCTCTGGCTGGTACTCACCCAGGCAACGTCTCTCTGCTCTCTCTGGGAGAACACGGGTTTCCTCTGTTCATGTCATATAGAATCTGTGTTTTGGTAATATATGTTTCCGTTGGTGAGCCGGAACATGCATCTCTCAACTCTGTGCAACTCTGTTCACAAGGCATTATTTCGAGATAATAATTTCTGATGTTTTCTGAGGTTGTGTGGTGAGACAGTCTCTGTGCTTCAGGTCCCGAGTCGCAGTTTGCAAGTTGGTGAGCTCGGATCCAGAAGTTTTTTTTTTTTTTGTCTTATGTAGAATACTTGCCGAGTGTCCCCAGTTAGGGTCTTTCAGTGTTAAGATCAGCACCAGTGCTGGTCTTAGCACTAGTTCCTATGGCTACGCGAACTTTCGTTACTTTAATTTACAAAATATATATATATATATATGTTGCATTATAAAGCAATATAACATTTTGCAGATCCCGATGAAGGTGAATGAACCGACCATAAAAGAAAATCTTTCCTTTTAACTCCATTAAATCTGTATACCATATAACCTGTTATAATTAATATACCCAAGAGAGGTTTACCCAGTGTTATGAACAATGCATCATAGAATAAGTAAAAAGTCTTCTTTAACATGATATATCACATATTACTTTTGTGTTTGACATCGATTTTATCTTGGTGTATACCGAGACGATCTGCCACTTAATATAAACTATTTTCTACAGGAAATGGTGTTTGAATTTCACATGTATGGTAATTGCTTCGGACAAGGGGAAAATCTCTGCCTAAATTCTACTCGACCTTTCTCAGATGGTAACATGTCTGCAAAAGGGTATCTTTTCTGGGTTGAAGTAGAAGGACTTATCAAGTCCGTTGTTGGTCCTCTCGCACGTCTGGCGGGGAACTGTGATGGGATCGTCCTTCTGTAATGTCTTCGTCATGTATGTGGAGACTTTCCTGACGAGAATGTCGATCTCATCCTGGTAGGCAGATTCGGCGAAGACGTAACATATCGCCTGGATGAGCAACGATCCCTTGTGAGGGTCCCGATGAGAGAGTTCTCCTGGGGATGTGGAGAATATTGAATACATGTCTGAATATCTCTGGATGCCCTCTCGTGGCACTGCTGGTAAGTTCCGAGTGTCAGTGTGGTAGAACACATCGTCCCCGTAATGTTGTGCTTCTGAAGGTTCTTCACTCTCTCTTTCATCTGTCACATGAGATATGTTTACATCGGGAAAAGAACACAGAGAAGAAACCGAGGCATTTCTACTTATTTCCTCGATTGCTAAGTAAAATGGACTTTTTGGATCGATATCTGCAGTTGCTGCGTCCCCCTGGCTGTGTGGCTGCAGCTTCTGCACAGCTTTACGAACTTCTTCGCGGATAATTTGCAAAAGATCATAATCATTGTTTATATGCCTCCGTACTGTTATATCAGATAACTCATTTGGAAAGTTCCGACAAAACTGCAGTATAAATATCTTCGGTTTTCCTTTCAGTAGTTTGCAGTGAATATTGTCGAAGATGCGATACACTTCCATAAGATCCACTTCCTGGTTATCTGAGGTGAGAAAAGTCTTGGGTCCAGAGCCGTGACTCATGATGATGACAACACAAGAACACAATACCTCGTGTTTCCTTTCGCGACTGAACTTTAAAATTTTGTCCATAAATTCTTGTTTGGTGATGTAGCCTGTTAGACAGTAAGTGTTCATGCGGTGGCTGTAACCATAACCCATCTGCTGGAAGAGGTTCAGCAGGTTCTCGTAGTCTATCTCAGAACCTTCTCGCTCAGGGTGTTTATTATCTTTAAACTTGGAGAAGTTACTTATAAAGACCAGGCCTCTGGGTGTCGAGTCGTTCCTGTAAGCTCCATCACTCTCGCCATAAACCTTGGTATATTTGACAGTGATGTGTGATGAGGTGTTACCGCGACCTCGATGCCGGATTCTCTTCATGTTCGGAAAGAGATCTTGAGCCTCGGAACTCTCGCAGTTTTCTAAATAAGTTAATACCTTTTTACTTGTTTTCGGGCCAGATGCGGCTCTTGAAGGAGTTTCATCCATTTCGAGAATACATTCTGACGTCAATGCACATTCACTCATGTTTCTCTGAGGCCATGATTGACTGCAACGCTGAACTGTAACGGAAGAAAGTCGTTTTTTATCCTCAGATTTAACCGATAAATCGTCCCCGTTATCTTGTGCTTCAGTGCCTAAAGGTGGGTCGGATGTCGCCTTGTGCCGTTGACGCGGGGTCCTCTCGGTCCTCTCTTCCTTAAAGACATTATCCTCAGGTTCGAAGCGGCAAGAGGATTGTTGTAGGTTGTGTGTGTTGCTAGCGGCGCTGTCACTTCTTAGCACACTCTTGCACAGATGAACTGCTGTGTTGCAAACCTCACTTTCTGTACGACCTTTTACAATGTTATTGGTAGTCCGACTTTCCTGGAGACCTGTAGCAATGATGAGTGAAACTTTACTCTCTTCGGTGTGACTTTTAGCAAACTTATCAGAAACTTTACTCTCCATGGTGTAATCTTCAGCAAAGTTATCACTGCCTTGACTCTTTTCGGTATGATCTTTAGCAATAGTATCTGGAACTTTACTCTTTCCGGGATGACTCTTGGCGAATTTATCATTAACTTTAGTCTTCTTGGTGTGTTCCTTAGCTCGTTCTTTACCCTGACTCGTCTTGATACGATTGTCAGCAACAGTATCCGAAACTTTATTCTCCATATTTGCACCTCCCAGTGTTGCCTCATCTTCGTTTTTAATGGGCCTCATCTTCTTCTTCCTCTTCTTGGTTCTAAACGTGTCCACGAAAATGCGATACATTCGTCTCCAGCCCATAGAGCTCCAGCTTCTGGGACAGCTGTGCTCTCACAAATGACCTCCCTCACTCTCACCTGTGAGGAAATGATCACTTTGTCAGTTTAGGTATGTAAAGTGATAGTAAATGATCGTAATTAATATTTTACAATGCTTAGTGCGTCATGCATATTAGTAGTAGTAGTAGTAATAGTAGTATTGGAAGCATTCAACCTGTAGGGGGTCATACAGCACGTGGAAGATATTAAATTGGGGAAACTTACTACTGTTGTTATTTTAAGAACAAAAGGCTTGGAAGTGCAGCACCAGACTAGCTACGTTAACTCTCCCATTATCATTATTTTTTTCAAATTAAGTTATGTTATAATCTCTGAATACTTACAGTTCAGTTGACCCAACGACGTAACCTCATTAATGAGACTCCGAACCTAATCTGTAAAATTTTGAACCATTATTATTATTATTATTATTATTATTATTATTATTATTATTATTATTATTATTATTATTATTTAAAAAAGCTAAACTTTTGCGGATCATACATGGGCACGAAGGAGGGATCCTGACGTCTGAGGTAACAAGTGTGAAAGGGGTGACTATGTATGAAAGATAAAAGTTAAATTTAGAGTAATAAGTTAGTCTTGATTAATAAATTATTGACAGCATCTGCGTTAAAGGAGGCATTTACAGGGAAGATGGAAGCCAGAGAGAGAGCATCAGTGAGTTAAAAAAAACGTCGAAGATGAGTCTACGTATCCTTTGCTAAACAAGAGAATCAATTAAAAGATCTTAGATATTCAGCAAGACCCAACAATTCTGGCAGAGAGGCAGGCACCAGGCATCTCTCCATGACATGTCCAAGTGTGAGAGTTGTGTATCCGATACACAGTAGCGCTCGTATCATTTTCCCACATCCGAGACGATGGAAGGTTGGCCAGAAACGAAATCATGGTTTGATTAAAAACAGTTTGTGGTTCATCAACGCTAATATAAACACTGAATGTGCTAAGACAGTACTGGAAGACAGTTGGTAAAGCATAAAGACCTGCTGGAGACTGGAATTACAAAGCGCATAAGTTCACTGTCCTAACACCAGAATGTCAGCAAAATGTGATATTGTTGTACCTGCTGAAGAAGCGATACATTCAGTGTTGAATGTGAAGGAAAATGGGATGCAAAAAGCCAAATCTCTGAAGAACTTGTAAAGAACTTAGGTAACCTGAGACTACAAAGAAAAAAGCAGACAGAAGTAACGAAAATAATAGTAGCCAAAAAGTGCTTGTAACTCCCAAGTGAAAGTATTAGTTGTCTCCGGAAAGCGTCACCAGATCACGCTATCGCGAAAAAAAAAATACGCATCAAACACCATTGACGACTTTGGAGCTTTGTAGAATCTATGTGTAAATGAAAATGCTGAAGGATGAGGCAGCAGGTGGCCAAAAACAAGATGTGAGACTATGGGAATGTAAGGTGAAAGTGACACACTCGGACCACCAGGATCTTACAAGGCGGAGAGGAAGAGGATAATAAGGAAGAGGATGGAAGGAGAAGGGAGGCAGACTGATGGAAATAAGAATATGGAGACAGAGACCAAAGGAGTCAAATAAAGACGGGCGACACCTGTGTTTCATTATTACGAACATCATGATTGTTCATGAAGACTATGATAAACAATATAATGCAGACAATGTGTATAATTAAAGGGTTTTTGAAATTTCTGATACTTGGTGGGCAGTGAAATGTTCAAACAGAAGTTGGTAGACAGGAGTGTCTTTTATCGCAGTCCTGTCTAGAAAGATGGCAGTGTGATGCAGAGGTGTCACACACATACACAGAGATATGACACACACAAAGGCGACACACACACACACAGGTGTGACACACTCACCTACACAAAGGTATGACGCAGTATCTGTTAAGTAGTTGTGTATACAGTGATTAACAGCACCTCGGCTACGTGTCCTATCTGATAAGATAAGGCTGACCAGCAACTGGTATTACCGCCAGCATATATCTGATGGTAATGGCCTTGCTACGTCACTCTCAGGCACACACATGACTCGACCCCTGCACTCACATATAAGTTAGTACATATAGGAGAGTACATACACACACACATACTGACAGGCCCAGCGCTTTACTGCTTCGGCTACGAGGCTTCTAAATAGGAAAGATTAGCAAGCAGTACTTCTGTCCATGTTTCCCTCAGAGGCAGCAACAGTAACCCAACTGAACTTTTCCCGCAGCCCAGTAGCCGAAGTGTTAGAGAGCTGGACCTGTCAATCTAGGGACCACGGTTCGAACCTCCCGTCCAACCTGAGGTGTGTGTGTGGGGGGGGGCTTGTTATAATAAGGTTAGGTAAGTTTTCTAAGGTTCTTGTGGTGTAAAATTTTAAATTTTTACATTAACATTAATGAAAAAAATATATCTTTAAACGTATATGAGAAAATTTTAGAAAGGACTTAATTTTATACGAGTTCTTGCTAATTGACCAGTTTGACCTACTAGGCACGACATTATATATATGATCACAGTAAACAGGTGATATCACAATATGCAGAACACCCATTGTGAAAAAATAGAAGAATGCCATGCTCTTTCGAGACTTCTCACATTATCAAGGAACTATAAAATAAAAGGTTAACAGGAAGGCATATAAGGACGAGACTACACCTCACTGCCACCCACAACAACACCTGACCTTTTATGATGTATGTAGGTAGTTAGGTGATCCATGAAATACAGCTTATATTCTACCCAAAAAAAAAAATTCTTTAATGTATTTTAAATTCCACCCTAATATTAACTTCTCTAATGTATCTTAAATTCTTCCCAAATTTTATTAATTATAAATGAATCCAATTTGTATAACCCAAAAGAAATATTCATATTATTTTCATAACTACTTTTCATGAAACAAGATTCATTTATATTTCTGTCGACCATGGACTTGCTTAATGCAACTTTCTCAACTTTATGAAAATCAACTGGATGGTTAAAATCTCTCACATAAATAGAGCATTAGGATCTTGTCCAGTTATGATGTTATATTTATGTTGTGTTAATCTTAGTTTGAGACTTTTACCAGTTTGATCGTAATAAACTTAATCATATATTTTACAAGGAATCTTATAGACACATCCGTCAGTATTTCTGAGGGAATTTCTTATCAAAAGTTTTTTAACTGTATCAAGATTTTTAAATACAACTTTGATATTAAAATTCTTAAGTAGAGAAGGCATATCAACCAATTTTTCATGGTAAGGGAGAACCAACATACTTGTGTTAATGTTGGTAGAATTACCGACAACATGATAAGTATAAGGACACAAGTGCAACTAATGTGACATTTTATTCTGGCAACGTTTCGCTCTCCAGGAGCTTTGTCAAGACATTGATAAAGCTCCTGGAGAGCGAAACATTGCCACAATAAAATGTCAGATTAGTTGCACTTGTGTCCTTTTACCTAACATATTTTTAGTTGAATAAGGTTGGTTGTCCCTTCGTATTGTAGAAGGTATTTCTAACAATTTTAAAAGAGTTATCAACTAAGTTTCTAGGGTATTTTAGATCATTAGATATTTCATAAGTTTTTGAAATTTCTTCATCTATGATTTCTGGGCTGCAAATACGTAAAACTCTCAAAAACACTGATGAGAATACAGACAGTTTAGGTTCATCTTGATGTGAAAAATAACAGTGTACATAGGAACAGTTATTTGTTGGTTTTCTGTAAATTTTAAATTTAAAAATATGGTTCCCTTTATTAATTAAAACATCTAGAAAAGGTGTAGTCTCGTCCTTATATGCCTTCCTATTAACTTTTTATTTTTATAGTTCCTTGATAATGTGAGAAATCACGAAAGCGCTTGGAATTCTACTATTTTTTCCACAGTGGTTATATATATTATATATATATATATATTTATATATATATATATATTATATATATATATATAAAATATATATATATATATATATATAATATTATATTATCACACTGGCCGATTCCCACCAAGGCAGAGTGGCCCGAAAAAGAAAAACTTTCACCATCATTCACTACATCACTGTCTTGCCAGTGATATATATATATATATATATATATATATATATATATATATATATATATATATATATATTATATATATATATATATATATATATATATATATATATAAGACAGTATGTAGTGAATATGTGAAATTTTTTTTATTATCCACTCGCCGGCCGATTCCCACCAAGGCAGGGTGGCCCGAAAAAGAAAAACTTTCACCATCATTCACTCCATCACTGTCTTGCCAGAAGGGTGCTTTACACTACAGTTTTTAAACTGCAACATTAACACCCCTCCTTCAGAGTGCAGGCACTGTACTTCCCATCTCCAGGACTCAAGTCCGGCCTGCCGGTTTCCCTGAATCCCTTCATAAATGTTACTTTGCTCACACTCCAACAGCACGTCAAGTATTAAAAACCATTTGTCTCCATTCACTCCTATCAAACACGCTCAAGCATGCCTGCTGGAAGTCCAAGCCCCTCGCACACAAAACCTCCTTTACCCCCTCCCTCCAACCCTTCCTAGGCCGACCCCTACCCGCCTTCCTTCCACTACAGACTGATACACTCTTGAAGTCATTCTGTTTCGCTCCATTCTCTCTACATGTCCGAACCACCTCAACAACCTTCCTCAGCCCTCTGGACAACAGTTTTGGTAATCCCGCACCTCCTCCTAACTTCCAAACTACGAATTCTCTGCATTATATTCACACCACACATTGCCCTCAGACATGACATCTCCACTGCCCCCAGCCTTCTCCTCGCTGCAACATTCATCACCCACGCTTCACACCCATATAAGAGCGTTGGTAAAACTATACTCTCATACATTCCCTCTTTGCCTCCAAGGACAAAGTTCTTTGTCTCCACAGACTCCTAAGTGCACCACTCACTCTTTTTCCCTCATCAATTCTATGATTCACCTCATCTTTCATAGACCCATCCGCTGACACGTCCACTCCCAAATATCTGAATACGTTCACCTCCTCCATACTCTCTCCCTCCAATCTGATATTCAATCTTTCATCACCTAATCTTTTTGTTATCCTCATAACCTTACTCTTTCCTGTATTCACCTTTAATTTTCTTCTTTTGCACACCCTACCAAATTCATCCACCAATCTCTGCAACTTCTCTTCAGAATCTCCCAAGAGCACGTGTCATCAGCAAAGAGCAGCTGTGACAACTCCCACTTTGTGTGTGATTCTTTATCTTTTAACTCCACGCCTCTTGCCAAGACCCTCGCATTTACTTCTCTTACAACCCCATCTATAAATATATTAAACAACCACGGTGACATCACACATCCTTGTCTAAGGCCTACTTTTACTGGGAAAAAATTTCCCTCTTTCCTACATACTCTAACTTGAGCCTCACTA